AGTGCCCTAGGACCAAGGTTCGCACTTCTTCTGGGACCATGATCCGGTCTTCCTTCCAAAACAGCCCACCGTGGTTCAGGAGGGGTGACCCAGACGGAACTGGTAGTCCTATAGAAGCGTCGAGAAGTCTGGAACGAAGTTCCGTTTGTAGAGCGAGGAAACTTCCGGAAGGTAAGATGGTGTCAGGTACCACTGCGTCGTCGGGGTCCTCAAACATGCGGGACAGAGCGTTGGTTTTGTGTTCTTAGTACCGGGTCGGTACGTTATATGGAATGTGAATCGCGAGAAGAAAAGAGCCCATCTTGCCTGGCGAGGTCTCAGTCGTCTTGCTGTTCTTAAATATTCAAGGTTTTTGTGATCTGTGAATATTAGGATTGGGTGTGTGGCTCCTTCCAGTAAGTACCTCCATTCTTCTAGAGCGGATTTGATGGCCAGGAGCTCCCGATCTCCAATATCATAGTTACGTTCTGCCGGTGTCAACTTCCTGGAGAAGAACGCCACGGGGTGCAGTAGTTCCTTGGTTCCATTTCTTTGGGACAGAACCGCTCCTACCGCGTTCTCGGAGGCGTCCACTTCCAAGACATATGGGAGAGAAGAATCCGGGTGGCAGAGAATGGGAGCAGAAGTGAACAATTTCTTGAGTTTCTCGAACGCCGTCTGAGCTTCGGGAGTCCACTTAAAGCGGACCCCTTGTTTCGTCAGTTGCGTGATCGGGGAGACCAGACCGGAGAAGTTCCTAACAAACTTTCTATAAAAGTTGGAAAAGCCGATGAAACGCTGTACCCCCTTTTTATCGGCGGGTATTGGCCAATCTAAGATCGCCGTGACCTTCTGGGGATCCATCGCGACCCCCGCGGAAGAGAGAACCAGTCCCAAGAACGTGATTTCGCGCTGCTCGAAACAGCACTTTTCTGCCTTGGCGTATAGCCCGTGTTGACGCAACCGTTCTAATACCCGTAATACATGACCTCGATGAACCTCCAGTGAAGGGGAGAAAATTAGGATGTCATCCAAATAAACCACCACAAAAACATTGAGGAAATCACGAAAAACATCGTTGATAAAATGCTGGAAAGTTGCCGGTGCATTACAGAGCCCGAACGGCATCACTAAATATTCATAGTGACCGAATCTCGTACGGAAGGCCGTCTTCCACTCATCCCCCTCCCTGATATGGACAAGGTTATAGGCCCCCCGCAGGTCTAGTTTAGTAAATATCATTGCTGATCTTAATCTCTGGAGGAGCTCGGGGACTAGTGGTAAGGGATAACGATTTTTTACCGTTATCTTGTTCAGATCACGGTAGTCTATGCAGGGCCGTAACGATTTGTCCTTCTTCTCTACGAAGAACAACCCGGCCCCGGCTGGGGATGTGGATGGACGAATAAATCCCTTCCTAAGGTTCTCGTCAATATATTCCCTCAGTACTCCCGATTCTGTTTCTGACAAAGGAAAGATACGGCCGAATGAGATTTCAGATCCGGGTAGGAGGTCTATGGGGCAATCGTATGAACGGTGCGGGGGAAGAACGTCAGCTCCTCGCTTACTGGAAACGTCTAAGAAGTCATGGTAGGCCGGGGGAATGGTCTGGGATAGATTGGCATCGCCATCCACGCACAGGAGGAACCGGGGACCCACGGATCCTGCAACGTGGCAGTGATTCAAACAGTAAGGTGACCTGAATTGAATCGTTCCCCTTTCCCAGTCAATCTGGGGGTTATGGGCCCGCAGCCAAGGGAGCCCCAGAATGACTGGAAATAGGGGAGATGCGATGGCATCCAAACGGAGGAACTCCTGGTGATGGTCTGCCATTGTGGTGAAAATGGGTGGTGTCTCCTGGTCCACCACCCCTGATTTTATACTGGACCCGTCTGCCAAGAAGATGTTGAACCCCCTTTCTTTGGTCTGAAGTGGTATTTTTTGCCGGTGGGCAAAAGTCAGGTCGATAAAACAACTACAAGCTCCTGAGTCAACGATTGCGGTCACCGACAGTGTTCTTCCCGGGAGCTGTAAAGACACAGGTATGGCCAGGTAATTTGACTGATCATCCCTTCCTGCAGGTAAGGTAAAAGAAAAGGAAGCGGACTTACTCATTTTTGCAGGACAGGAGCGCACCTGATGACCAGCTTCCCTGCAGTACAGGCATAGGTTCAGCGATCGTCTCCTTTGACGTTCCTCGACCGATAAGTGGGAACGGGCCAGTCCCAGTTGCATGGGTTCCGGGTTGGTTCCCCGATTCCGTGCTTCGGGGATGGTTCCCTGGGGTTGGAGCTGTGTCTCTTGGTGGGATCCATGCCACCCTTTGACCCTGGCTGCTCCTTTCCAGCCGACGTTCCCTTAACCTACGGTCAATCTGGATGGCCAACTCAATCAGTTTTTCCAGGGAGTCAGGTAGGCCTACTCGTGCAAGTTCGTCCTTGAGAGATTCAGACAGTCCGATGCGGAACTGGTGACATAAGGCCGCATCGTTCCATCCGGTGTCTCCCATGCATCGCCTAAAATCGGATGCGTATTCTTCGGCTGCCCGGCGGCTTTGCCGCAGAGAGTATAGGGTAGCCTCTGCGGAGGCAGCCCGCTGAGGGTCGTCATACAATACTGCCATGGCCTGAAAGAACTCGGTCACGGAGTCAAGCTGGGGGTCGCGCCTCTCCATCAGACGGTGAGCCCAATCCTGGGGCTCATCCTGAAGGAGAGAGACTATAAACCCCACCTTGACGGTCTCGGTGGAGAACGTGCGGGGCTGCAAGTCAAAATACAGGGTGCAAGCGTTTCGGAAGGCTCGGAAGCGGCTCCGGTCACCACGGAACCGTTCCGGCAGGGGAACGCGGGGCTCAGGAGCTGAGGGTGTGGCAACCGCTCCGGATGCCGGGGTAGCGGGAGGTTCCACAGATGGAGAACTCTGAGCAGGGGGAGTCTGGGGGGCTAACGTCTCCATGCGGTCCTCCAGTCGGGCGCAGCGACTGTGGAAGTTCTGGAAAGCCTGGGTCAAAGTTGCCAGGTGCTGGCAAATATCCTCTAGGGACGCCGGTCCACTTCCTGGCTCTGTCATGGCCGCAAGGTACTGTTATGATCCGCCAGGCGGAGCCTTCCAGCTGCCAACTGACAGACCAACCCAGAGCGTGGGGTCTAAGCCCGGGCTGTGCCTTCACCAGGGCCCCTGATGGTGGGGATGGACTTGAAACAGTCCCGGGCCAGGTCACGACCTCTGAGCGGGCCCACCAGCGGCTGAGGAGGCCTCCGGGGATGTGTGTAGGTACCGGGAGAGCCAGATATGAAGAGGATGGCGGCCCCAGCAGGGTGGTACGGATAGTGGTCCCGTGGGGGTAAGCGGGGTACCGAATCGGCGGGCAAGGAGTAGTCGGGTCACATGCAGGGTCAGCCAGGTAAATCAGTCCGTAGAATAGTCAGGATGATCCGAGTCAAAACACAGGAGCGGGCAGAATAGTCAGGACAAGCCGGTCAATCACAGGAGCGGGTAGAATAGTCAGGGCAAGCCGGGTCAATCACAGGGGCAGGCAGCGTAGTCAGGGTCAAAAACAGGGTCACAAAACGGGTGCAGGAACTCAGGATCACAGGAAGACCTTGCGGCAATTGGGTGACAGTGTAGGGCATCTTTAAATAGTGCGCCCTGCACTGTCATTGGCTGGCTAGGACGCGCCCCCGGCTGTCATTGGACGCCTGAGGCGCGCCCGCGGCTCTCTACTGCGCATGCGCGGCTCCCTGTCAGCCGCGGCTCGCCGGGACCTAGTGCCCGTGTCCTGGCGCGATCCGCCGCCAGTGCGCATGCGCGGGGGACGGCGTCGTGACACAGGAGTCCGGAGCCGCGATCCCTGACAAGAGCCTTGAGGGACCCCAACAGAGAGGGGGAGTGAGAGGGAGGTGGCAGCATTATAGGTAACGCTGAAAGAGCATTGTGACAGGTAGGATGAGAGCCAGGAGAGAGCAGAATCTCTGAGGCCGAGGGAGTGTAGTTTTTTGAGGAGGAGGGGGTGGTCGACTGTGTCGAAGGCCGCAGAGAGGTCAAGGAGTAGGAGCACTGAATAGTGGCCATTAGCTTTGGCAGTTAGCAGGTCGTTGGAGAGTTTGAGTAAGGCAGTTTCGGTGGAGTGTAGGGGACGGAAGCCGGACTGTAGGGGATCGAGGAGGTTGTTGTCGTTGAGGTGAGAGCATAGGCGGGTGTAGACTAGGCGCTCGAGGAGTTTAGATGTAAATGGGAGCAGGGAGATGGGTCTGAGGTTGTTCGGGTCATTGGGGTCCAGGGAGGGCTTTTTAAGTATGGGGGTGATGTGTGCATGTTTCAGAGGGGGAGGGGAAAGTGCCGGAGGAGAGGGAGAGATTGAAGATGTGGGTGAGGGAGCATAGGATGGAGGGGGAGGGAGGTCGTAGGAGTTGTGAGGGGATAGGGTCGAGGGGGCAGGTGGTGAGGCGGGCATCAGAGAGGATCTTGGAGACTTCTTCGATGGTAGTAAGGTCAAAGGTGCGGAGTGTTGGGGGAGCTTCAGTATGAGGAATGTAGGGTGGGGTGGAAGAGGAGGTCAGAGCAGTGGTGGGGCCGTGGGAGAGGGGTGATGAGGGGGTAGCTGAGTGAGGGGGAAGGGGGTTGGAGGGAGTTTGAGCAGCGACTAATTCCCTGCGGGTTATGTCGAGGGGGAGGGGGAATGAGGGGGTAGCTGTGTGAGAGGGGACGGGTTGAGAGGGCGTGTGAGTTGCGGCTATTTATCTCTTTAACTGCCTCCCACCCGCCATATAGTCCAATGACGGGCGCAAGGTGGTTCTCTCATTCTGGGAGGACGTCATATGACGTCTTCCCATTCTAAACGCGAATGCGCGGCTCCGGGAGCGCGCAGCACGGTGATCGGCGGTACGCTGTATCCCTCAGATATAGCGGATCACTGATCCATGGAAAGAGCCGAAGATATCGGCTCGGTCATGTGATCAGCTGTGTCCAATCACAGCTGATCGCATGTAAACAGGGAAATGCCGGTTATCGGCATTTCTCTCCTCACAAGCTTTCACGCTGACAGCTCGATAGGAGAGGAGAGCTGGTAATCGGCATTCCTCGGAGGGGACATGTGCACTGATCATCAGAGCACTGATGATCAGTGTGCCCTGATGATCTGTGTAGTCCCAGGAGTGCCACCTGTCAGTGTCCATCAGTGCCAGCTCTCAGTGCTCATCCATGCCACCTGCCATGGCACTGGCCCATCAGTGCCACATCAATGCCACATATCAGTGCCTACCAGTGCACATCAATGCCACATATCAGTGCTCCACTGAGGAGCTGCCTTTCAGTGTCACCCATCAGTGCCAGTCTGTGCCACCTATCAATGCCAATCAGTACCACCTATCAGTGCTGCCAATCAGTGCCACATATCAGTGCTGCCTATCAGTGCCAGTCAGTGCCGCCTATCAATGTGCATCAGCGCCGCCTATCAGTGCCCGTCAGTGCTGCCTATCAGTGCTGCCTAACAGTGCCAGTCAGTGCCACCTAACAGTAACAGTCAGTGCCACCTATCAGTGCCAGTCAGTGCCCCGTATCAGTGCCATATATCAGTGCTGCCTTTCAGTGCCCATCAGTGATGCCTGTCAATGCCCATCAGTGCCACCTACCAGTGCCTCCTCATCAGTGCCACCTATCAGTGTCCATCAGTGCAGCCTATCAGTGCCCATCACTGCAGCCTCATTAGTGCACATCAGTGAAGGAGAAAAATCACTTATTTACAAAATGTTATAACAAAAACTAAGAAAAACCATTTTTTTTTCAAAATTTTCAGTGGTTTTTGGTTTGTTTAAGAAAAAATAAAAAACCCAGAGGTGATTAAATACCACTAAAATAAAGCTCTATCTGTCACAAAAAATGATAAAAATTTCATATGGGTACAGTGTTGCATGACCGCGCAATTGTCATTCAAAGTGTGACAGCGCAGAAAGCTGGAAATTGGCCTGGGCAGGAAGGGGGTATAAGTGCCCTGTAGGCAAGTGGTTAATATATGTCATTTTTAATGCATGGGAGTATTTCACTAACTTTGCTAGTTGCGGCTCGGCATTGCATGCTCTTGCTAAGTCTGTGATCTACAGTCACACTCAGATCCTTTTCCATCACTGATTCTCCCAGGAGAGCCCCTCCTAATGTGGATTTTCAGTATTTTTGGCACTCAAAGGCATGAATTTTCATTTCTCAATATTGAAACTCATCTGCCATGTAGCTGCTCAACACCTTATTTTATCAAGATCATCAAGGTCTTTTTGTAATGATGCCACCACTTATACCAAGTTTATTTCCCTGCATAATTTGTTATCACTAGCAAACAATGAAATTGAGCTCTTAATTCTATCCTCTATATATCATTAGATCATTAATAAACAAATTGAACAGCATTGGCCTCAAGAAAGAACCCAAAACTCACAACTTTAAGATAATTTAGAGAATGAGTCATTTATTACAATTCTCCGTGTTAGTGATGAACCAAGCAAACACAGGTTCAGTTCGGCAAATGTTATCAAAGTATCGATTCAGAATCCAAGAGCCAAAAGCCAGAAAACCTGAACTGATTACGTGGACAGTGTCCTCTCCTAAGATTCTATGTCAGAATGAGATTCAGTAGACTGATCTGGGATAAACAAAAAATTTTTTTTTTGCGTCAGACTGCAGACCTATACAATTGCAAAAATGTAATGCAGATTTCTTGACACTATTTGGCTATTCCATTATTCCAGAAAGATAAGGCAAATTAGATGAAAAAAAAGAAAATTTAGAGATACAGTATTTGCTAAGTTTGAAGACTGAAAAACTGAACCGTTTTGAACGGCAGTTTTTAAACCTATTTCAGATAGGCCACAATTTTTTCCAAGGACAGAGAGAAATCAGATTGTACCTTGACATCTAAAAATTTGAAAGTTTTCCAGCTCAGTTATTAAACCTGAATGGACAGGCCACTGTTTATGAGCGAATATTAACAGGCATTTGACATTCGTAAGGAAAAAAGTGTTTTTTTTTGTACACTGATAATGGAAATAGCATACAGGTTTACACCACAGCTGAAAAAGCCTCTGTGGACAGGTCAAAATTTCTGAGTAACGTGGCAGGCATGTAACTTCTGTAAAAAAAAAATAAAAAAAAAAAATGAATAACTTTTTTGGACACTGAAGATGGAAATAGCATACAGGTTTGCACCAGAGCTAGAAAGCAAAGCCTGTTTGAACAGGCCACAGTTTTTGAAAACTGGAACAAGCATTAAGCATTAACAAATGTAAAAAAAAAAAAACAGTGTCTTTTTTTTGGAAACCAACAATGGAAATAACATATAGGTTTGCACCACAGCTAAAAAGGCTGTTTAGACAGGCTGCAGTTTTTGAATGATTAGGTAGGCATTTAACATCAGGGAATAAACAATTAGTGTGTTCTTTTCTATGTTTCTATGCTAAAATAAACTGAATAACTCAAGCGCTAACTATGGTGAAATGAAAACAAAACAAAAAAATTTACATTAAATGTACTCTGTAAACGGCTCTTGGAACGGCATTACAGCAGGCAATAGCATTCACCAAGTGGGCTGTACTTTGCCTTGCATTACATTACGGATGGTGTCTGTTTTGAGCATGTACAGGACTCTGCTGCTGAGACGATACTGCCATCTTGTGTTTAATCATTACATCACTGGATGTTCATCATACCTGGTGCAACATACACCTCTGGAACGTGAGTGTATAACTTATGTTTAATTGATGAATAAAAGTTTAAAAGGATAAAGCACTATGTTGAGTTCTTTTTAATGAGGAAAACGGCTGATACAAAGACGGTTATCAGGAGGGAGCTTACTTTGGAGCAAGCTGATCTGAGTCCTTATGGGACCTAAAGTGCAGTTAGACCGTAACATTGTATAATGTCAGGTCACACTGCGTGAGGTGAGCAGATATTTTGTGGAAGATGTCTTTGCATGGGAATTGATGACAGATGCACATATTTTTCGTTATCCAAAGGAGGGTTCACTGAATGAACACCTTGTTGATTGAACTTGAGTTTTTGAAGGACTTTTGTTTGATTCATACTTAAAAATATTTTTAGTTTATTGAGTGGTTTTTGTTTTTATATATATCTATATATATAAATATATATAAGATATATATATATATATATATTTATTTATACATTTTTATTTCAATATTAATTTTTTCAACTATTTTATCTTCTATGTATATATTTTTTTTTCTTTTAGTTATTTGTTATACAAGGATTGTGCCATTGTTTCATGTAACGCAACATTTTTTCACTTCATAATATGATTGTATGTTTCTATGCTAACTGGCAGAAAGTACAAAACTAATCTCAGAAAGTACTATTTTACTGAAAGAGTAGTCGATGCTTGGAATAAACTTCCAGCAGAGGTAGTGAGCCAGTCAACAGTAAATAGCTTTAAACATGCTTGGGACAAGCATAGATCTATACTCAGACAAAAAAGTAAAAAAACACTCAAAAAAACAAACAAAAAAAAAACAATCCCTCCCCCCTCCAAAAAAATTGGGCAGACTCGATGGACCACTTCGTCTTTTTCTGCTGTCACTTCTCTATGTTTCTGTTTTTGGCACACTGAAAAAGCAAACAGCTTAGCGACACAACAAACCCATATATTACACCAGGAAATTGTATATTAGTGCCTTTGTTTTGACAGTGACGTTGGAAATAGCATATATCTTTGCAACACAACTTTGAAGCCTTCATTGTCAAGGTTTATGAGGGAGAGAAAAACCAGACTGCAATTTTCCAAAAGAAATTCCATTTCATAGAAGAAGGAAGATTTGATGTACACCCAACCACTTGCCCTCCAGAGGATCTACCCCCCTTCCTGACCAGGCCATTTTTTTGCGATACGGCGCTGCGTTACTTTAACTGACAATTGCGTGGTCATGCAGTGCTGCACCCAAATGAATTTTATGTCCCCTTTTCCCTACAAATAGAGATTTTTTTTCAGTGGTATTTGATCACCTCTGCATTTTTTATTTTTTGCGCTATAAACCAAAAAAACACTGACAAGTTTGAAAAAAAAATATATATATTTTTTGACTTTTTGCTATTAACCTACCTGGCGGTATGATTCTTTCCGATTTTTGGTGCTGAAAGCGGTACCATTTTTTTGCATGGAAATATGTAGTTTTTTATTGTAGGCTGTAATTTTTAGGAATAACTCACTGAAATCTATCCGAAAAAAGAGTCTATTAAACATTCTGGATATGATAAAACTTGAAACACGAAATCATAAATTATAATTTAATAAATAATCATAAAAAATAATAATATAATAATAATACATTTAATTCAATAATATAATCAAACCAAAAACACTGAAATTTGAAATACAGAGGCAAATTCGCACATCGCTGAGCAAAGTCGCAAAATCGTTTTCAGTGTCTGATGACGAATTTCTCCACAAATCATTATCACTCAATTCTGCAAGTGGTTCTGATTTACTATCGCTGTTCTAAAACCGCTTTTGACGTAAAGGGACGCTTTTTGGCCGCCATGGACTTTTCTAAGTTTCCAGGCAGAAAGAACAGTCAAAATGCAGGCAGGGCACAGGACAAAGCAGTGGGGACAAAATGTATGTGAAATGCAGTGAAAAAGCAATGACAGCAAAAATGTCATTTTTTAAAAATTTTAAATTTTAAATTTCCCGCCGGTTCCGCCGCCCGAACGTTCCGACGTCACAGGGACCGGAACACGGAAGCCAGATGCCGGCATCCGCCGGAGGAGATGCGGGGACGCTGCAGGGGACCCATCGTGGGAGCGAAGGACAAGGTAAGTGCTGCAGGGACCCCCAGAGAACGCTGCATGGTAAGCCCGAGTGTAGCTCGGGGTTACCGTTCTTGGTATAGAAATTCGACCCCGAGCTACACTCGGGAATACCGCCAAGGAGGTTAAACATGTCCAAGAAAAAAATTTAAAAAATCCAATTTTGTCATAAATTTACACCAAAATGTATTCTGCTACATGTCTTTGCTAAAAAAAATCCAAATACATGTAAATTAATTGGTTTACATGAAAGTTGTAGCATCTACAAATGGCAGTATATATACTGGAATTTTTTTTATAGCGATTTACAGTGGGATTGCGGAACTGCAGCGGGCATTCTGACACTGGGTGGGAACTGACTAACTGCCACTGACATCCCAATGACACTAATACAATGATCAGTGCTAATAAAAAGCACTATACTAATGACACTGGGCAGGAAGGGGTTAAATAGGAAGAAGGGTCAGCCTCACACTGGAGGATTGATGAGTATAGTGTATATTTATTGATCCAAAGGACACACAAAACACCAG